GAATGAGTATATTTCCCTGGCTATTCAAGTCGACAATCTGATCCGTACACGACGTAAACCCCGGGCAATTAATCGAACTTTTCTCCAGGCAGCAACCCCTCATGAGCCCATGCAGTTGGGTTTCACACCCATTTCTCCAGAGGAACGAGAACGCAGATATCAGAACCGACTGTGCATGTACTGTGGCCAACCCGGACACATGAAGCTCTCCTGTCCCATACGACCATCCTCTCATAACTCTCCGGTGAGTTCGCCCGCTAGAAAGGGAAAATCCTCTAATCATCTCTCAATTCCAGTTCGATTAACAATACAGGAACAAGTGTTTGATACTATAGCCTTTATTGACTCTGGAGCCGCTGGAAATTTCATGTCTCAATCATTCGCCGAACAATGTAACGTCAAATTGAACCCATGTCATTCTCTTCTAACAGTGGAAGCGCTAGATGGTCACCCCATCGGAGAGGGAAAGATCCAATGTATTACTGCAAACATTAGGATGGACATTGGATCTCTGCATTCGGAAAACATCCAATTTTACGTCATTCACGCACCTCTTCACTCTATCATTCTGGGATATCCATGGCTCCGGACTCATAACCCTCAGATCTCCTGGAGAGAAGGTGAGATTATCCGCTGGGACGAAACCTGCCAGAACCACTGTTTAACCAAGGTCACCAGAATAATCCAGTCCATTTCAGCATCCTGCACGAAAATACCCGAACTCGAATCATTACCCCCCAACTATGCAGATCTTACTGAGGCATTCAGTAAAGAAAAGGCGTCGCAACTTCCCGAACATCGTCCCACTGACTGTGCCATAGATTTGATTCCCGGTGCCACTCCCCCAAAGGGAGAATTTTCCCGTTATCCAGACCTGAGTCCGAGGCCATGAAACAATACATTGAAGAAGAACTCGCTAAGGGTTTCATTCGTCCATCAACTTCACCTGCCGCAGCCGGGTTCTTCTTCGTAAAGAAGAAAGACGGAGGACTCAGACCCTGCATTGACTATCGAGGATTAAATGATGTAACAGTCAAATACCGCTATCCACTGCCTCTTGTTCCTGCAGCACTAGAACAGCTTCGACAAGCCAAATATTATACCAAGCTCGATCTACGCAACGCTTACAACCTGGTTCGCATCCGTAAAGGGGACGAATGGAAAACTGCTTTTTCTACCACTAGTGGGCACTATGAGTATTTGGTTATGCCTTTCGGCTTGTCCAACAGTCCTTCAGTCTTCCAGGCATTCATGAATGACATTTTCCGAGATATGCTGGACAGATGGGTGATCGTTTACATTGATGACATCCTGATCTATTCCAATTCATTTGAGGAACACGTCCAACATGTCAGATCGGTCCTTCAACGATTAATTCAATTTCATCTATACGCCAAGATGGAAAAGTGTGAGTTTCATCAAACCAGCGTCTCATTCCTGGGATATATCATCAGTCAAGATGGGGTCGCGATGGATGAGAAGAAGGTGAGGGGAGTAGTGGATTGGCCACTACCTCAAACAGTGAAGGAACTACAGAGATTCCTGGGCTTCGCAAACTTTTACAGAAGATTCATCAGAAACTTCAGCTTAATCACCGCCCCCTAACCGCCTTAACCAAACGACACACATCTCGCATTTCATGGAACACCGAAGCACAACAGGCCTTTCAAGAACTCAAGAGACGTTTCACTACTGCACCCATTCTGCGTCATCCGGATCCTGAACGCCAGTTCATTGTCGAAGTGGATGCTTCTAACACAGGGGTGGGGGCCATCCTCTCACAGCGTCAAGGTAATCCAGCCAAGATGTTTCCGTGTGCCTTCTTTTCCCGTAAACTCTCCCCAGCCGAACGCAACTATGATGTGGGCAACCGTGAACTACTAGCCATGAAGTTAGCATTGGAAGAATGGCGTCACTGGCTGGAAGGGGCAACCGAACCATTCATCGTACTCACAGATCATAAAAACCTGGAATATCTACGATCAGCCAAACGCCTCAATCCCCGCCAAGCCAGATGGGCTCTCTTCTTCACGAGATTCAACTTTACTGTTACTTACCGTCCCGGATCCAAGAATACCAAAGCTGATGCTCTATCTCGTCAATCTGAAGAGACGAACTCCAGTCCCAACCCAGAAAAGATACTCGGTGAGAAATTACTACTAGCTCCTGTTCAGTGGGATATCATGACAGAGATTCAGAACGCCAATGTCCAAAACCCAGCACCGATTGAATGTCCCGCCAATCTCCTCTTTGTCCCAGATGCCTTGCGATCCCGTCTCCTGGATCAAGTCCACTCTAATCCCAGCTCTGGTCACCCTGGAATCAACGCCACAATTCATCTGCTCCAGAACCGGTTTTGGTGGCCTACCATTACTTCAGACACCATAACCCACATCCAAAACTGTACTGAGTGTCAAACTTCAAAATCACCTCGAACACTACCCTCTGGTCTTCTCTGTCCTCTACCCACACCACAACGACCCTGGTCACACATAGCCATTGACTTCATCACCGATCTCCCGAATTCCCAAGGCTACACTACCATCCTCACCATAGTAGACAGATTTTCTAAAGCATGTCGACTGGTCCCCCTCACTAAACTTCCCACAGCTCTCGAAACTGCCGAAACTCTATGTAACAATCAAGTCTTCCGTTTTTATGGTTTACCCGAAGACATCGTGTCTGACCGTGGACCCCAATTCACCTCCCGAGTCTGGACTGCATTCTTCAAGAACCTCAATGTGAACATCAGTCTTACCTCCGGGTACCATCCACAATCCAACGGTCAAACCGAACGCCTCAATCAGGACATCATACGTTTTCTACGCACCTACTGTCAGCAACATCAGGAAGAATGGAGTAGATATCTATTCTGGGCCGAATATGCTCAAAATTCCCTCGTCAAACCAGCAACCGGCATCACACCGTTCAAATGCATCCTTGGATTCCAACCACCTCTATTTCCCTGGTCCGGTGAACCCACAGAACTCCCATCTGTCACGGAATGGCTTCAAAAGAGTGAGGAGGTTTGGGATCAAGCACACACTCATCTGCGGCATGCAGTACGGCGCCAAGAGCATCAGGCCAACCGTCATCGTCGTCCAGCTCCCGAATACCAGGCGGGCCAATGGGTATGGTTGTCCACCAAGGATCTTCGACTCAGACTTCCATGTCGCAAGCTCAGTCCCAGGTATGTTGGTCCCTTCCAAATTTTAAGACAAGTTTCACCTGTATCATTTCGATTAGACCTGCCCGCTAACTACCGCATTTCTCCCACCTTTCATGTGTCTCTGTTGAAACCCGCTGGTGGTCCGAGGGGAGAAGCGGAGGAGGGGGCTGCCTCCCGGGCCCTCCTGCCTTTCTGGTTGACGGCGAGGAGGCGTACAAGGTGCACAAGTTGCTGGATTCCAGACGTCGGGGTAACATTCTCCAGTATCTGGTCGATTGGGAGGGGTACGGTCCGGAGGAGCAGTCCTGGGTCAACTCAAGGATATCCTGGACCCCACTCTCACGGAAGAGTTTCATAGGACATATCCGGAAAAACCGGCCCCTCGACCCCGTGGGAGACCCCGACGACATTTGCCTCCTCGCGTCAGGAGCCGCTCGCAGGGGGGGGGCTCTGTTACAATGGAGGCTCCCGCTCCGCCTCCTCTCCGCCACCAGAGGGAGCCTTCACCAGAATATTGACCATTGGCTTTGAACTCAAATTCCCATCATACCTCTTACCTGGGACTGATTGCGTCACACACCTGCACCGCATTAGCACACACACATAAAAGCCACTTCCACACACCACACCAGTGCGAAGTCTTGATTTGCCCCGGTGATCATTTCTGAGCGTTTATACCCCTGATTCTGATTCTCTGGTTTTGGACTTTGGACTGTTTGACTCCCTCTCGATTGATATCTGCCTGGCCTGAACTCGGACTGTTTCCTGACCACGATTATTGCTGCCTGCCCCGATCTCTGCCTGTATCTTGATTATCCCGCTGTCTTGTCTGCATTGCTCTGTCTGCCCGTTTTGACCCTGCCTGTACGACTCTGTCTAATAAAAGCTGCAAATGGATTCCTCTGTTCCCTGTGGATCATTACAGTCTGTCTGTGGTATTAAGTTGTGGAATAAACTAAATAACGAATTTAAGCAATGTCCAAAAATTATCCATTTTAAAAGATGTTCAAAGATATGATATTCCAGAGGTACAGAGAATAAATTGAATAAATCTGTAGTATGTATAAATATTGTCATGTATGGGTAACATCCTTATGTGTATAGAACTTTTGAATCAGTATTTTTTATTGAATCATTGATTTTTTATTTTTAGTTATTTGTTTAAATATGGTAGTAAGGGTATAAGGGGTAGGAGAACATAAGTTTTACTTCTTCCTACTCCATTTTGCACGTGTAAATAGTGGGTTGTTTTTTTTTTTTTCTTCAAGTACCGGAAAGTATGGATTTTTATTTTGTTGTTCATTTTTGTTTTTTATCAATATTACTTGTTTCATTGATTATATTTTTATTTACATGTTTCAAAATAAAGATCTCAAATCAAATCAAAGTTCAGTCTGCAATAACAGAAGGAGAAACAATGCAATATTTACGGCTGCATCTTTGAAATGTGTGTGATCCCATCTCCAAATTTTAAGACTGACATGTTTATGAGATTTGAGCATTTATATATATATATATATATATATATATATATATAATTGAATATAATTTATATATATATATATATATATATATTTTTTTTTTTTTTTTTTTTTCAATAACTAAAGCCTGTGCTGAAGTGTATGAATGTATGTGCTGAATCTGAGATATTTCTGTTATTATTTTTTTAATGTTTTTACAGTTTTTATGAAGTTTTAGTTTATTCCGTTTTAGTTATTTTAGTACTTCAATATTGCATTTTCTCGTACATTAGAAATGCTGGCTTGGCAACTAGCTGAAATAACTTTTTATTTTTTTTAATTTCAGGTAATTATTATTTTTTGCTAAAAACCATTAACATGTTTTTAATGATATCTAAACAGTACATGTGCATACATTTATGTTTCTGAAAACTCGATTAAAACCAAATATTCTTAATAAATCTAAAAACATAGTATAAATTATAATGCGTGTTTGACACATCCACCTTTAATATTGTGCTAAACATAGTTGTTTTGTGTTTCACAGAGAAATAAAGTTACCAGTGAAGAGATTTCAGAGAGAAGTCAGTATGGAGTCATAGATGCAGTGATAAATCTCTCTGGATCTGGACAGGTTTGTGTTGTGGCTGATCAGAGAGCAGTGTTACAGTGTTCAGGCCAGTGTTTCCTCAGCTCGGTGTTCATGTAGTAATAGATCCATGTGATGAAGGGAAACACAGTGATTCCCACAGCGGTGCAGATCCTCACCGAACCGACCGCACTCCTACAGGACACACACATGAAGAGTCACTGCAGAAACACATCACAGATCAGCGTTACACACCATCTTTGAGTTTTATCAGATGGTTTCCAGTACCTTCCTGAATGTCTGCACAGCAGAAGCCAGAAAACCACCAGCAGGAGTCCACCACATTCCCTAAGAGACGACAGTACACTCGTGGAGGTTTATTATTCCTCTATTTTTAAAAGCCATCATGTTGTTCCAAACCAATAAAACTTTTATCATGATATTTTGAAAGAAGCTTCATGACTGTCAAGATCCAAATTAATGATAGATCCATAAAGACATGGATGGATGAGTTTGGTGTGGAAGAACTTGACTGGCCCGGACCTCGACCTCATCCATCAGCTTTAGGATTAATTGGGACAGAGACTGCTGGCCAGACGACGTTCCCACAAAAACACAACAAAATCTTGTGGAAAACTTTCCCAGAGGCTCCATATTAATATATCTATAATGCAATGTCATTAAAGTCGATGTGAAATATCTTTAGTCCATATAGTGAAGATAGATAGACAGAAAAATCCATGTTCGTTCATACTTTTATGTTCCGCAGCAGAAGAAAGAAACTCATGCAAGTTTGGAACGACATGAGGGTGACCAATTGAGTAAAGAGTGAACATGAAATAAACTTATATTTCAATTATTATCCTATTCTGTTGTTACCTTCCTTCTTCTTGCTGGAAAATGTCTGTAATTCCCTCCTTACGAAGTTTCCAGCCCAGAATGGCTCCAAACGTAGAGGATATGAGCACGTGCAGATCAGCGATTCTCCTCCACAATAATGACTCTGGAAAAGCACAGAACGGAAGTAGTCTTTTCATCACTTCAGCCCCTTTAATGTTTTCATTCACTGAATATCTCGCATTAGTAAATGTATATATTCTCAAGAATATTTTCTAGAAGGGTTAGGGTTACGACACCATAGTATTACACTAGGGTAAATTGTCAGTAAATAAACACTTAAATCTTGACCTAGGAAAATCAAATGTTTTTCTAATGACTTGAGGGTGAGTATAAAATATGTTTTCCTAATATTTTTTTGGACCAATGAAATGTATTTCTGCTTCTACTACACTAGAGGACAGCATCGCGTCTTACTGTGATCAATGTAAAACACTGTTTACCTGTTATTTGTTGATGACAGCAAATCGAAAAACATAATCCAGCTGGAATAGCATAGCCAACCTGCAAAATTATTATGAAAAACCCACATTAATACACTTCTATTTTGTTTTGTAGAAGTATAACATGTTTCTTGGTTAAAGTGAATTCTGTCTTACCATCCACAAACCGGCATCTGGATCATTTATCTGACACAAACAAGAAGTTAATCTGATAATTAAATGACCATCTTTATTATATTAATCAAGATTGGCATTTAAAGATAATCTGTCAAAACCGTTGATTACCTGCACGTAAGTTGCCAACGCGAAAAACAGTGACATAAATAAATTACAAACTCTCCAGACGAGCTGAGAGGACGACACACTGATCTTGTTCGTCATTGTTTATTCATTCCAATGTATTTATCAGAACTTTTCTCTGAAATACACACTTTTGAACTTTGTATCATTTCCAGGATATGACGCAGATCGGTGCTAATCGAGCATTGTGGGAAATGTAGTTTACAACACTGCATCAGACGCGACTCGTTTAATTTCAGAATGAGGTTTCAGGTTCAGTCATTTAATAAGGACAATTTATATATTTTTTTACATATGTTGTCGCATTGAACTAGTAGCCTAATTATATACAGATTGCTTTTAAAAATAGATTCAACTTTTGATTTCACCAGCCTATTTCTGAAATCAAAAAGTTGTAATTTATTTTGATTAAGATGGTAGGCCTAACGTTAATTCTATTTGCGTAAAAAAAGATTCTTTGTTCTTATACTGTTAATATTCTGGTTTATAATAATAAGATGACTGATTTTTGAATAATGAAATCTTCTGTCTTGTAATGTAACGGTTCACCAGCAGATGGAGACTCCAGCTCTCTTCGTCTTTTACAGCAAGAACAAAGGCCACTTTACATGAGTTTTCAAGGACATTCTGACCATTTTATTAGTGTGTAAACTTTTAAGGAACTATTTTTAGACATTCATTTATAGCAATAAGATGTAGCCTATTTTTGCATTTTTTTACATTTGGATTTTTGTACTAAAAATGTGCATTTAGGCTAGATACTTTTCACAGTAAGCAAAAACAGTGTATCGCATGACATTATGGGTGAGACTCTAAGACTGAAGCGGCACTTGATTTTTCTGATTTAGATTTTTGTTTCATCATATTTTCTGGATGATTTAGAGATTTATGGTGCGTTCACGTGTTATGTTAAAATTATATACCAAAAGCCGACGTGGAAAATGCACATGAACACCCTATTTTTCACTGGGAAACACATAGAATATTTTGATGGACGAGTTGCCGAGATGAGTGACCTTTTCAAAATGGCGGAGAGCACCGCAATAGTCGTGAATGATAAAAATACTAACGTTATTCATGATCTAGAAAATATACAGCATATTATCTACCGTTTGAGAAAATAAATAATTTTCTTACTGTAGCAGATGAATCTAAAATAGTTTTAGCTAAATAACAGGTCTGGGTCTCCATCTTCTTACCACATTACGACAACAAAAGCACTTGAACACAACATTCTGGTAAAAAAAAACCAGTTCACAAGTGGAAAATATCATCTTCTGCACATCACGTGAACGCACCAATAGTACCTGTGTAAGGTCTGATTTCAGGCACCAGACCCGTTGTCACATTTCACTGTTTGCTTCAATAGAGTTAAGTGGGGGATTTGTGTTGTAAAGACACTAAAAAAAAAAACACACAACAGACCCCTGCGTCTGCTTACACACACACACAAACACATGTTTGTTTAGCTATACTTACGAGGACCTCCATAGATAAAATTATATTTTAGACTGATTCTGTCCCCTTTCACTTACATTTATTAATCCATCACACAAAACGTACTCACTTACTGCATTTTTACATTAACACACACACACATTTTGTTATATTTATTAATACAATTTTCTTGCGAGGACCAGCAAAAGTCCCCATAAAGTAGGCCTATCTCAATTTTTAAGCTTGAGGGGACAAGTATCTAAACATGCCCACACACACACACACACACACACACACACTCTCTCTCTCTCTCTCTCTCTCTCTCTCTCTCTCTCTCTCTCACACACACACACACACACACACACACACACACACACACACACACACACACACACACACACACTTTTAGATTATCCAAAACCTGATCCAGTATTTTTATTTGAAGAGCATTTTTCAAAACAAGAGGAAGCACATTATTTCAACACAATGAAGACTAATGCTTGTGATGATTTGAGGTGTGTCATGTTGTGAATTTGCATGAATTACATGTCAATCAGAGAACACCTGTGGGTTCTGTTCATGAATTATGCATGTCCATTTAGTCTATTATTAACAGACCCTACCGTTCTGCATTTCTGTCTGCTCAGTATTATACAGGAGGACGACATTAAGACCTCTCTTGAGAAACATATTAAACAGCCTTACAAATAAAGGTTCCAGAAGTTTCCATGTCCATTTCTGGTTCCTTTCAGTGATCAGTCCTTAAAAGAACCATTTTTCTTTTCTTAGTATGAAGAACATTTTAAAATTCAAAGAATCTTTAGTGGAATGGAAAGATTCCATAGATGTTAAAAGTTCTTAACGGAACAATCAATGCCAATGAAGAGACTTTGTTTTTAAGAGCGAACCAGGTCATATTTCCTGGATCATAACTCTTATTATCGATAAAAGCAAAATGTTTAGTTGGTTTCAACAGGAGGATAAATAGTTTGGACTTTCCATGAAAAGACTGGAAACGTTTAAAACATGGCAGAACGTGTATGCAAATTATCACTAGTGGGGATCAAATGTCTCAAAATATATTCAATAATCACTACTTAAATCTACAACATTTTTTAAAACAAAACCTAAAATATTAAATCAAAGTAGCTCTGAATCAACGTTGCGTTGCTGTCTGCGATCAGACAAATTTCCATGTGCATCTAGAAAAGCAGATGTTTTGGAAAGTGCTGCCATCTAGTGGTTTAAAGGACAATAAAATTGGCGCCTTTTACCCCTGTGCGCCCGCTGTACTCTACAAGTCCTGAAGGTCAGGCAGGTTAACCAATCCTCCTTTCCGCTGTCCTAGCAGTAACGGACTGTCTTCTTATATATGTCTGATTGACTGGCTGACCCAAACCAGACAGAAGTAGAAGAGCACAGAACCGACGGATAACAGCTGAGTAGAACTGTAATCTGTGGCAGATCGAGCTTTTTGCAGCTGACGAAGAAAGTGCAAACTTTGCTGGGCCTTTTTGACATTTGAGTCAGAAGCGATAGTAGTTCTGGGAACTTATTTGTAGGAACTAACCACCCGAGAACCAACATTTCCCTGGTTGCGTTCGCACCTCCAGTGTAGAAACTCTAAAGTGACGTAAGCCGCACTCGTTTTTGAGACTTTTATTATGACGACTCTGAAAACGCCAGAGCCCGAGCTAACAGTTCTCCATGTTCATTAGTTTAGGATCTGTCTAACAGTCCTCTCTAATACGCTATTAGATTGAAGTAGACGGTAATGAAAAGTTATTAGCGTACCGTGTGGTTGATATCCTGTGTCGCTAGCTGAGCACAAACACATAATCACGTTTCTCTCGGTCCCCTCAAAGTTGCGTTGGATTTTCTCACGGTTTTCCATGTTCGTAGAGTTAGGCTACACGTAAACGATTCTGAAGAAAAAACGCAAAAGTGGCATTGCGTCATCACTTTTTATTCTGTGTTTAGACGAGCGTTTTGTGTGGGAAATCCGCGTGCAAATGGTGACGCAAAAATGTGTGAAATTCAATGTAGTGTGCACTCCAGGCGGCTAGGAGTGCATACTACGACAACACCAATTCCACACGCCTGCGTACAACCTTCACTGTCGAGCAGACTTTTGCGCTTTTACCGTTTCCACGGGAACGCGGCGGTGGAGCGTTTTTAAGATTTCCACTCTGGAGGGTGGTTTCAGTTTTTTGCATTTTTAAGCCTCAAAAACGCCGTCGCCGTGTAAACGAAAGGCACATCCGATAAAATATTTTTACGTTTTCACCCGCGAGCGTTCTCGTGTAAACAGGGCCCTAGTTTCTGGAGTAAATATATAAGCTATAATCTCTGTTTTTTTTAAAATGGCGGCTGCCGGTGTTTCGCGTGCGTTCGGCCAATCCGCGTATGCTAACGTCACTGATACCCCTTTTCCACCGAAAAAAGAACTGGTTCGGAACTGGTTCTGGTTCAAAGTTGGTTCGGAGTTGGTTCAACTTGCAAACCCGTTCAGAACTTGTTTGTTTTTCCACTGACTATTTATTTTTATTTTTTTTCCCACTTACTAGAGCACCCAGGGAACGACGTCGTTACGTCACTGTGCACGTCGCTAGAAACGCTTGCAAGTACATTGCTTTGTGTTTGGATTATCTCTAACTCGTGTACCAAGAAAACTTTAAAAACAATTGAAATATGTAAGTCTTTTAATCTTTTCGTTTGATATGTAATCTTTTCGGATAAGTTATGTACCCCTGTCTTGTGTCTTTTTTCTTTCCATTTATTTGTTCTATATCGTGACTGTTTTCTTCTTTGCTTATGTTTCAAATAAAAAAATAAATAAATAAAAACGCTTGCGTGTTTCTGCAGTTTCTCCTGGCTTTGCGATGGTCAGAAAATATGTTTAGAACCAGACTGATCTCATGAAGTAGCGTGTGTATGACACGCCAATTCGTATTTCCATTTTTGGCGTGCTATCAAGACGCATAATCGCCTTTCAGCGTGTTTATGAACGCCATTGACTTAACGTTATATAAATATATGACTTACATCAACCCCGTCCCTAAACCTAACCGTCACTGGGGTTAATGGCATTTATAACTGTTCCCTTACCATCCTAGGAAAGAAAAAGATATGACTTACCTCAACCCCATCCCTAAACTTAACCGTGACTGGGGTTAATGGCATTTATGACTGGAGATTTGACTGCATGTACAGACACGCGTAATTACGCGGACGTTAATGGCGTAGACATATACGCATACACGCGGATACACGCGGATAGCTCAAAATGCGTAGAGATAACACGCCACCTGACTCGAAAGTGGCGTATATGTTTACGCAAAAGTCATGATGTCATGTTGTTAGAACACATCTAAACCCGACCCAGCCCCCGACGTAAACATGACGTGCTAAAAGAACGGTTCTTGTCCAGCAAAGAGTTGGTGCCGCTTTGGAACCAGTTTTCCCGGCCGCGAACCGGTTCTTTGGCTGTCGAAACACAAATAACTGGTTCGCGCGCAGGCACCGGCTCCGAACCGGCTCTCAAAATGCTTTGGTGGAAAAGGGGCTACAGAGTTCCTATCAGACCAACTCTAGTAGTTCCTCCAAAAGCAGTTCCTAGAACTAAAATCGTTCCTGGTTCCTGCGGTGGAACCACGCCAAAATCCGTGAACTTCCACCAATAGCTCTTGGAACTATGGAAAGCCCCTCATGTGATTGTCCACTTGAGCT